AACTGGTGGGTGAAGTAATATTCTACACGTCCATAAAATTCTTGAACCTCAAATTCTGAGGGTCGATTTTTAAATGCAGCCCACTTGTCTACTTTCATCCGTGCCTAAAGATATTATTTGATTAGAATATTGATTAAAGAAATTTTTTATACTATAAAAACTTACTGCTATTCCATAGTTTATCCTTACGAAGCTTTTATTTTTTCTTCCCCACATAGAACCAATAAAATAACCGTGTCTATTTTGCATTCGTGCATATTTTTTTCCGTATTCAGGAAGTTTCTAAACATAAATTTTAAATTAATTTAAATTAAAAGGTATATATTTGTTAATAAAATTTTTATATACCTGTAGTATAGTTTTAGCCTCATAACACGTTGAATAATGTTTTTTCAATTTATCTACCATTGATTTGTTTAGATTATGCTTTGTGGTTGGAAAATAAAATTTCTCTTCATAATTAGGGTTCGTATATATCATATTATCATTATATTGAATTATTTTATTTTGTGATAGATAAACTTGATGATAAATACTTTCATTGAATCATAAATGATTCAATCGTTCTCTAAGAATAATTTGATTTGCCAAGTTATTATAAGGATGAAGTTTTGATTGAACAAGGGGGATTAACATCCCACATAATCGTTCCATCGGGAATTGCCATGTGCACCAGCAAGGACCGTTTGTTTCTATGGTATCAGCCAGATGCAAAAGGTAATGGAAGCATATTTTCATCGCTGGCAATCGCATTTGATCTTGCTGATAATATGTCCTGTTGATAAAAAAAAAAAAACTCATTAAATTTGTTATGAACGTTATATAAGTCAAATTAAAAAATTTGATATGTCGAATAGCATACTTTGAATGCTATTTGACATGTCAAAATTTTAATTTTGACTATCATTTTGAACAGATAAATATGATTATATTTACTTTTCATAATGTTTATAGAAACCAAGTGTTAATCTTCGAATTTCATTAACATCATCTGACGAAATTATTCTTCTTTGACATAATTTCACTGCGGCCACAAATAAGTTCCACCCTTGCATTATTTTTTTTGGTAAATGTCCTCTTAATAAAGGCATCGAATAAAGCACTATCCAATTTGCCCATTCTTCAGCCTTAAACCCATCACGATGATTAACAATGTTTCTTGGAGGTCGACCAAAGCATGTCGGCATTGATTTTCAATTTGATTCCATTGTTTTTCCAATCGTAGCCCAAATACTTTTTTGAATAGTATATTCATTCACGTTTAGACTTGAATTATTGGAATAAAAACATCCATACCAATGCTTAAACATATAGTTAGGAATGTTTTCATATAGTAAATGCATGATATCAATTGGGAATGAATTCAGGAAATTTGTAGATTTCAATTCGAATAATATGCTTTGTTCATTAACTCCTAGCATGATTTCAATTTGAATTAGTACCTTATATATTAAAAATATCTTTTATAAATTACAAAATTAATCCATACTGCCACTTGATCGGCCACTTACGATTAGTGGCAGTACGGATTATTGTTAACACAACCTAAGTGAAAACCTACTAATCCCAATATTATTATTATATATACCAGTAGTAGTTTCTATATTTCTTTTGTCCCTATTATTCTTAGCCGATTTCCATCTTTGTATCTTTTTTAAATAATCCTGATGTGATCTTTTTGGAAGATTACTTGGATC